GATTTGGTGGCGTTTTATTTCAATCCTGGGAAATACAGATTATCATCCATTCGGTGACAGATATGGCTGTCATAACATGACTATGGGAACGCTGAATAGCATTGATGTGACAAGTTGATGGTCTTCTTCATTTCCAGTACGATGGATGAACAAAACTGCACCTGGACGCCTCCTGATTACTCCAGGTTGCACAATGAAGCAAAACCAACAAGCACTAGAATTCTTAACTGACTTTGTTGGAGGGGGATTTCCAGCCGGTGGCAGAGGACAGAGTGACTCCAGGAGACATAGGTGTAAAAACCCAAACTAAAACGAAGACTTTATTACTAAGCAAATAAACACAAACTCTGGTGGATGTTATTCCTGCAGGCAAGCAACAAAACTCAGCTTTTTTCCTTTATAGCAACGGTCACCTGCAGCCAATTAATCCCAGAAACTTCTTAAAGGTATACACACATGTTTCTGTGCCGAATGTCCTCTAACACCCCCTCTCATTCAAACAGAAACAATAGTATTTTAAACAGAACAGAACATATTTACATATCACACACAGCAACTCCCAACTTTGCTACCAGTCGTGCATGTTTTTCAAAAGTTAACGCTTTTGTAAATACATCCGCCACATTTTGTGCACTTTCACAATACTTCAGCATTATCTGGTTCTGTTTTACATTTTCAGCTACATTTTGATATTTAATTTCTAAATGCTTTGATTTGTTTCTAAACTGGTCAGATCCAGACAAAGTTATTACGGCTTGATTATCTTCCATAATTTGAACGGGATAATCACACTGTACGTTTATATCCTTGAGGATCTGAACATAAAATTTAACTTCATTACATAATTCCGACAATGCACAGTATTCGGCCTCAGTTGATGATGTGGCCACTATACTTTGTTTTTTGGATTTCCAACCTATCAAAGAATCCCCAAATTGAAATACCATTCCAGAAATTGATTTTTTATCAGGCAGGTTGGCCCAATCGCTGTCAACGTAACACTGCAATTTGGTGGAACCTGAAGATGGTAATCTTAAACAATAATCAAGTGTTTGCTTTAGATACCGGAAAATACGTTTTAAACCTTTCCAGGCATTTTCTGTAGGATAGCTTACTAGTCTGCTTAGTATTCCAACTGCATAACTCAAATCTGGTCTGCTCCACAATGAAATGTATAATAAACTTCCAATTATTGAATGGTACATTTCAGGATTTACAGGTTCTGTGCATTCTCCTTCATTTTTGAAAAAAACCTATTTCCATTGGGGTTTTTACTCCCTTGCAGTTTTGCATATTGTTTCTTTCAAGTAACTCCATTATTTTGTCTTTTTGATTCAACAAAAAACTTCCATCGTTTGTTCTTTGAATTTCTAAACCGAGATAATTTTTTACTGGACCCAAATCTCTTACTTTAAATACCTTTCTTAGTTGTTCTGCAAATTTTTCCACTTGCTTGTCACCTTTTGTAGAGTAAAGCAAATCATCAACATAACACAAACACAATTCTTGTTTATCACCCTTTCCTTTAGTGTACAAGCAGTTATCAGCTAAGCTTCTTTTAAAACCAAGATTTTTTAAAGCATTATCAAGACACTCGTTCCAATTTCTAGCTGACTGTTTGAGCCCATAAATTGCTTTGTTCAGCCTATATACAGAATTCTGTTCTCCTGCCTCAAAACCTGGCGCTTGATTCATAAAAATTTCTTCTTGCAGATTTGCGTTAAGATAAGCTGTTTCAATATCAAAATGGTTTACCTTAAACCCATGTTGTGCTGCAAGAGCTAGCAATAAGCGTACACTTTCACTCCTTGCAGTAGGAGAAAAGGTTTCATCAAAGCTTTCACCTTTTCTTTGAGTAAAGCCTCGTGCTACCAGCCTGGCTTTGTACTTAACATCACCATCTGCCAAATGTTTTATTTTATACACCCATCTACAGCCCACTGCCTTTTTTCCTTCTGGCAATGGCTCAATGGTAAAGACATTGTGTTCTGCTAAAGATTTCATTTCTGCTTTCATTGCATTTTTCCACCTTACTATTTCCTGGTGTGGTAACTTTAAAACTTCCTCATAATCACGAGGTTCCTTTTTCACATCAACAGTTTTAGCTTCTTGTATAGTAAACCTTTCTGGAGGTACCCCCTTATTGCTTCTTTGTGACCTTCTAACTTGAACACTCTCCCCCTCTGAACTATCTTCCCCTTCTGATTCATCCTGCTCAGGAGAAATTGGTTCAGCTTTAGGAGACTGTGTACTGGGATCCTCATCCCCTGAATCCTCATCACTGTCACTTTCAGAACTTTCTTTAATTTGTGGCTTTTCTTCCTCAGATTTCACAAATTTATCTGTATCATCAGAAGATAACACAACTTCTGAATTTCCATGTAAACGAACCCAACCATCTTGCTCACAAAACTCTGCATGTCTTGATATTACAACTCTGCCACGCCCTAGTGCAAAACGATACCCCTTTGACCAAGTTTGATAGCCAACAAACCTAAGTTTCTTTGCCTTGGGCTCTCCTTTCCTTCTCTGTCCTTTTGGGATGTGAACCCAAGCCCAGCAACCAAAAGTTTTAACATGGTCCAAAAAGGGTTTTTTTCCATAAAGCAAAAAATGAGGGGTGTTGTTTATGGTAGAATGAAACAATCTGTTCTGTATGTAGTTAGCACACAGAATTCCTTCCCCCCAATACTTCCTGGATAGGCCAGAATCACATAGCATTGAATCTAGCATTGTTTGTAAAGATCTTATCTTGCGTTCTGCAACTGAATTTTCTTCAGGCGAAAAAGGACACGATTTACGGTGACTAATACCACGCTTTTTCAACCAAACTTGGAGGGCTTCAGACATGAACTCGCCTCCACGGTCACTTTGCAACTGGGTAACTTTGTAGGGAAACTGCCTTTCTATATAGTTGATCCAATTCTTAATCAGTTGACCAGTTTCACTTTTGTGTTTTAACAAATATACCCAAGTATACCGGCTATAATCATCCACAAGAACCAAAAAAAACTTTGCTCCTCCTTCAGACTCTGCAAATGGCCCACAAAGGTCTGAATGTACTAAAGCAAATGGCCTCTTGCTAATTCTAGTACTTTCAGGATAAGACCCTCGCTTACTATTAGACTCCTTGCAGGTATTGCAGTCTAGAAAAACTGAACATTTTTTCATTTTAATTCCCTTGCTTAATTCTGGCATTTTTGCAATACTGCGGAAATTGGCATGCCCCAAACGACGATGCCACAGATGCTGGCACTCATCATGCAAGGCTCTATTACAGGCTTTAACACATGCCCCAGACTCACTTACTAGCTGGTCTTTCAAAACAAACAAACCATTTTGTAGCAACGCTGTAACCACTTTTCCAGCTTTCTCTATTCTACAGCCTGAACCAGAAAAGGTTACTTTAAATCCCTGCTTAACAAGACTTGTAACTGAAAGCAAATTATTTTCTAAACTTGGTACACATAAAACATTGGTAAACTTGGTACTTAAACAGTTGATATTCACACTACCCTTTCCAGCTGACTCATGCACTGTTCCATCAGCTAGTACTACATTTACAGATTTACAAGGCTGCTTTTCTACAAGGGTTTGTGCAGACTTGACAAAAATGTTTGTCGCTGCTGAGTCTAAAATCCAGTCTTGTCCAACGTCGTGACTGGTGCCTCGAACTGCTGCAGAAACATACTGGACTCGACTCTTCCTGTTTCCTCGCTTCCCAGCAAATGCAGGCCGCCCTTGTCTTGTATTTTCTCCCACAGACACAGTGCACTGTCGTACTAAATGCTTGGTTGACCCACAACGATAGCATCTTCTAACTGTGAACGCTGCTTCCTCTCTATGGTCTACAACCTCTTTAGGTTGCCGCTCCTCATCAGTTGCATATCTTTTACTGGACTGCCTCCCATTTCTGGAGTTACGGTGAGGGGTTGTGGCCTTCCTCTCATGGCATCTTTCCTCCTCATCAAGCAAACGCCCAGTTAAGAAATGCATTGTTAATTGGCTTTCTGGGATTGCTTCCAGAGTCATCACTAAATTGTCCCATGACTCAGGAAGTGAAGACAGCACAATATAAACCTTTCTCTGTTCAGAAAAATGTTCCCCAAGTTCATTTAACTGTGAAAATAAATCACGCATTCTTTGAAGGTGTGTTGAAACACATTCACCCTCACTTAGTCTGGCTCGGTACAGAGCTCTCATTAGAGTAATTTTGCTGCCAGCAGTGTCTCTAATATGTATTGCTCTCAGTGCTTGCCAAATCTCACTTGCTGTTTCAAGGTCTCGCACATGAGATAACTGAGACTTCTCTAAACTCAAAATTAAATTGGCATAGGCTTTGTCCTCCAGCCTTTGGTCTGCTTCATCTACTTCTTCATCCTCCTCTTTTACAGGAGGGTTAACAATAACAGTCCAACATTGTTCTTTCTTTAAAAACGCCTGCATCTGTAAACTCCATGACATATAATTGGACTCTCCCAGTTTCTCTACTGGAAAATAGGAAGCTCCCCCTTGAGCTCCAGCTCCAAGTCCAGCCATGGCACCACCCAGCTTTCAGCTTTCAGCTTTCCACTCAGTTCTTACTCACACGTGGCTTGAAGAAATGTTCGGCTCCTGGTCCCAAACAGACACTCCCTGTCGATGCCTTCACACAGCCAGCTGCTTGAGAAACGCTGAGTTGCTTCCAGTCTCTGGGTTCTTTTCACGCTCTGTCTCTGCCCACTCAGGACTGGGGACTGGGCCCATAACCTATTGGAGGGGGATTTCCAGCCGGTGGCAGAGGACAGAGTGACTCCAGGAGACATAGGTGTAAAAACCCAAACTAAAACGAAGACTTTATTACTAAGCAAATAAACACAAACTCTGGTGGATGTTATTCCTGCAGGCAAGCAACAAAACTCAGCTTTTTTCCTTTATAGCAACGGTCACCTGCAGCCAATTAATCCCAGAAACTTCTTAAAGGTATACACACATGTTTCTGTGCCGAATGTCCTCTAACAGACTTGCAATCTAACTATACCACAGAGGGGTAAGGAGGCGGGAGGTCAGGTAATACGGGATGTTCTTTTCTGTCATGATAGAAATTAAAAGTATTTAAATATGAAAAGAATGAAAAGAAAAAATGGGGAGGTGGGTGCATTCATTGCTAACTATGTGACTGGCATCTTATCAAAGATGGCCATAATCATCATCATCATCATAATGTAATGAAGAAGGAGGAGGAGGAGGGGGAGGAGGAGGATGATAAAAGTGTGGTCCTATACATCAGGGTTGGAGAGCTTTTTTCAGCCTGATCGCTGCATTCCCATGTAGGCAGGGTCAGAGTACAACCTAGGCAGAGCAACGGATGTGTATATTACCTTTACACAGTGAGCTTCTTCCAGTACAGGCTCACACACTCCTCTATGTTTTCCACCCATACAAATAAGAAGCATTATCAGAGTTTGAGGACACATATTCCAGGCAGGCAGAAACATTCGACGAGGGTGAGAGATGTGGGAGATTTTCAGTCAAACCTAACAATGCTAGTTAGTATTAGAAGGAATTAAGGACCACAGAGTTCTAAATTGCTAGAGCAGCCTCAGTGATGTTACATCCTTTTTTCTCATGAGAGGGTCAGACATATGTCTGTTGTATTTGTCAACTAAAGAACCTTTACATGCATTTTATCATTGTTGCGTGGACAATGCATGACTGTAAGTAAAGTATATTTTAAACTTACTTCAGTGTGTGGTGTTCCCTTGCAGGAGAGGTAGCGGGGCCAGTTGCTTCCAGTAGCTGAAACAGATTAAAAGAAGACTTAAAATCCTGTTCCTGTGCTTTACTAAATCTGCCTAATGGTAGGGTTTATACTTTGCTACTGGGGCTCTTTATGTGAAAACCCTGTGTTTCTAAAAACAGGCACCAGCCAATTCTCTTCCATTTACCAACCCACACATATGAGTCTGTAGAGGATTAAATATAGCCATTATATCCTCTTACCTATACCCATCAATAGGCCTTTGGGAAAGTTACAAGGGCCAGTTAGAGAGATATGGGGGGGGCACATTTGGCTCCATGCCCTGAGGTTTCCCATCCAAGCTGCCTGGAAAGAAGCCCTATGAGCTCAAATGATAGGATTACTCCTCAGTGCTTTCCCTCCTGCTCTTCTTTCTTTCCAGGGCAGCACCTCAGCAAACAAGCAATTCAGCCGGATCCAGGAACAACCCCGACAAGCAGAAAAACACTTGAGAGGAACAAAAGAGAACACAGCGGCCCACACGGGCCTCTTTTCAAGCCGCAATCACTTTGTTCCAGTTAACCAATTCAAAACATTATCGCACCATTTGAGAAACACCGTTTGAGATCCAAAGTACACAGCGAACTCCATCCCACACCATTCATTCAGCCTCCTGCCGCAAGCGGGAGAGAATAGAAGCCCCAGTCAGGCATCCTTTCTGTGCAATTCTCAGGAGGAAATGGACAAGGGGAAGATTTCTCCTTTGTTCAGCGTCTCGTAGCAGAAAAAGCCAGATGATGGCATTTCTTTCTTAGTTGTCAGGCAACCGCTGAATGGCGAGCCAGCACTTTGGCTAAATATAGTCACACCAAAGACCCAGGTAAAAGCAGAAGGGTGTGTGTGTTTGTGTGTGTGTGTGATTATATAGACAGTAGTACCTCGGGTTACATACATTTCAGGTTACAGACACTTCAGGTTACAGACTCCGCTAACCCAGAAATAGTACCTCGGGTTAAGAACTTTGCTTCAGGATAAGAACAGAAATCGTGCTCCGGCGGCGCAGTGGCAGCGGGAGGCCCCATTAGCTAAAGTGGTGCTTCAGGTTAAGAACAGTTTCAGGTTAAGAATGGACCTCCGGAACGAATTAAGTTCTTAACCCGAGGTACCACTGTGTGTGTGTGTGTGTGTGTGTGTGTGCGCGCGCGCACACACACACACACACACTTTATTGTCACTGTACCACTTGTTTACAGTGAGATTAAATGAGCCCCCCTCCCCCCCACACACAATCTCTCAGTCCTTGTTACACACTGTGTGCTGTCATATGACCACCAACCCTGAACGTCAGCTGCAATGTTGCTGTCTTCCATTCAGCAGCCTCACGGCCCACGGGTAGAAACTGTTATTTCACCTGTTGGTGTGGCTTATGGTGCTTCTATATCTCCTGCCCGAGGGCAGGAGATTAAAAAAGGTGCTGGCCAGGGTGTGAGTCTTCCCTGAGAATGTTCCTTGCTCTTCTGAGGCAACGGTCTCCTGCGATAACATCTTGCGGACTCAGGGGACAGCCCATGATATTGTGTGCTGTCTTCCCCACGCTCTGTAGGGACTTTCTGTCCATGGCTGTCAAACCAGCGTACCACACCGTAATATAGTATGAGTTGCATGCCACCCCAATCTCTGAGGGGTGTGAGATTCAGGGGTTCCAGCTGCTTACCTAGGTTCCATGTTTCCTTTTTGGAATAAGGCACAATGGAGACTGTCTATTGTGTCTTTATATCATTTATTTACATATCTATACAACCTGAGGCTATGATGGAGGGGTTCACAGCATTGACGCCCCAAAATGGTCTTTCTTTTTTCTCCCATAGCTTCAGCCTTGGATTCAAACAGAAACCAGACATTGTGTTCTGCTTCTCTGCCATTCCAGCCTACAACTTTTTCCTCTAGGTCCCATCACAGCCAACTCTGCTCTTTCACCCAGGCTTTGACCTAAAAGCTGGATAAGGGGCCCCACCCATTTGTTGTCTGACACAGAGCCCTCTTTCCTTTGCTCTCTTAATGGTCCATCACCTTCACCTTGTTCTCTCTTAATGGCCCATCGCCCAGGCAATTACCTGAACGCAAGGAGATAGCCTGGCTTACATTTGAACACATGCTGGGTCCAGGGACTAGAATAGCTTGATTAGATTTTAACACCCACAAACCCATAACTATATTTTCCTACCCATCTATCATCTATCTATCTATCTATCTATCATCTATCTATCTATCCATCTATCTATCTATCTACCTACCTACCTATCCATCTATCTACCTACCTACCTACCTACCTATCTATTTATCATCTATCAGTCTATCTATCTATATCATCTAGCTATCTAGCTATCTAGCTATCATCTATCTATCTATATCTATCTATCTATCATCTATCTATCTATCTATCTATCATCTATCTATATCTATCTATCATCTATCTATCTATCTATCTATCATCTATCTATCTATCTATATCTATCATCTATCTATCTATCATCTATCTATATCTATCTATCATCTATCTATATCTATCTATCATCTATCTATATCATCTATCTATCTATCTATATCATCTATCATCTATCTATCTATCTATCTATCTATCTATCTATCTATCATCTATCTATCTATCATCTATCTATCTATCTATCTATCTATCTATCTATCAGCACACTACCATCACACCCTTAAAGAAAGTCTCAAAACTGGAATGCGTGCAGAGGAGGGCAGCCAAGATGATCAAGGGTCTGGAAACTAAACCTTAAGAGGAGCGCTTGAAGGAGCTGGGTATGTTTAGCCTGGAAAAGAGGAGCCTGAGAGGAGATAAGATAGCCATCTTCCAATATCTCAAGGGACTGTCCCATGGAAGATGGAGCAAGCTTGTTTTCTCCTACTCTGGAAGGAAGGACTCAAACCAATGGCTTCAAGTTACAACAAAGGGGATTCCGACTCAACATCAGGAAGAACTTTTTGAAAGCAAGAGCTGTTTGACAGTGGAACAGACTCCCACAAGAGTTGGTGGACTCTCCTTCCTTGGAGGTTTTCAAGCAGAGGTTGCATGGCCATCTGTCATGGATGTTTTAGCGGAGTTTCCTGCATTGCAGGGGGTTGGACTAGATGACCCTCGGAGTCCCTTCCAACTCTACGTTTCCATGATTCTATGATTCTAAGGCACGATTCTAAAATGGGGGAAAAAATATTTATTAAAATATGGTAATAACAGCATAGTATAGAAGATCTGAAGAAACCAATGTCAATTCAATAAATAATAATGATAAGAACCACTTGGAAGGGTCAGAAGCAAGATTTCTCTGAATACCATTGTCTGGGATTCACAAGTGGGCAGATGTCCTGCTTCCAGGTTTTGCATAAGTATCTGGCTGGGCCACCGTGAGAACAGAATGCTTGACTAACTGGCGCCTTGGACCTGGTCCAGTAAAGCTCTTCTTAAGTCCTTTTGGGGTCATGCAAAGCTTGCTGTCTGCCACTGAGCCATGACCCTAAAGCTGGAGTGTCCCTGCTGGCTTGCAGAATAACAGGATATAAACTCTGGGCCCCAAGGAGCAGGGCGATTCAATGATTTAAAGCACTCCACCACAGCAGCTTCAGAACAGATGCTTCTCTGCAGCCTAATACCTAAGCCAAATGCATTCATTCCCAGCCATTTGTTCCTTCCAGGCAGTAACGGCTGCAAGGGGAATCTCATTTCCCCAGGTATCCCTGGGCCATATTTGATGTCAATGTTCAACAAAGTTCTTCAAGGGAAGGGGAAATACGGTGCAATTTCAAAGGGGAGTGAGCATCAGAGGTGGCGGTGGAGGAGGAAGGGTGCTTTTCAAAGTGGCAAGTATTTATGTTGACTTTCTGACTCGAGGCAATACAAAAGAACTGGGGAGGAAGCAGCAAGACGTGCCCTTCTAATCACCACTTTTAATGAAACGACTGCCATCGTGTTTTGATCAGAGGGGATCACTTGTTTAAAAGGGGAGGAACCACTTTGTCAGATGTATAATCAAAGCTTAATGGATTCCTAACAGCAGAAGTATGTTATTAAGCAACCCGTGTGGGCTTCCTCGGCTTCTGAATTATTCATTCGCCACAGTGCTCCAGACATGCTAATTTGCACCGACGTGTCTTTGAACCTCGGGCAGGGACTCAAACATTTGCAGAGTGTGCTGTGGCCAGGAGTGCCAGATATTCCCAGTCGCTTATGAGAAGGGAAGTGGCCTTTGTGGACAGCCCACAACCTTCTGCAAAATAGGAGAACGCAAGCTTGTTCAGCCCAAAAAGTATGTTATGGTTTTCCCAGTAGTGATGTGTGGAAGTGAGAGCTGGACCATAAAGAAGGTTGATCGTCGAAGAATTGATGCATTTGAATTCTGGTGCTGGAGGAGACTCTTGATAGTCCCATGGACTGCAAGAAGATCAAACCTATCCATTCTTAAGGAAATCAGCCCTGAAGGCTCACTGGAAGGACAGATCCTGAAACTGAGACTCCAATACTTTGACCACCTCATGAGAAGAGAAGACTCCCGGGGGAAAACCCTGATGTTGGGAAAGATGGAGGGCGCAAGGAGAAGGGGACGACAGAGGACGAGATGGTTGGACAGTGTTCTCAAAGCTACCAGCATGAGTTTGACCAAACTGTGGGAGGCAGTGGAAGACAGGAGTGCCTGGCACGCTCTGGTCCATGGGGTCACGAAGAGTCGGACACATCTAAACGACTAAACAACAACAAGGGTCGGAGAAGGTTCAGGAAAGGGAAACCAAACATTGTAGGGTTGGAGAAGGGAAACCAAACTTATCAATGGGTTGGTGTGCCCTCTCTGTGAAGAAAGGCTGCAGCGTTTGAGAGTTTTTCATTTAGAGAAAAGGCAAGCAAGTGGAGACATGGTAGAAGTTTCTGAAATTTTGCATGGCATTGAGAAAAGTGAATAAGGAAAAGTTTTCCTCCTTTTCCCATAACACTACAAACTGGGGACATCCAATGAAGTCGAACGTTGGAAAATTCAGGACAGATTAAATGAAAAGTATTTTCTTCCACATCACACATAGTGAAACGATGCCAAGCTCGTTTCCACAAGAGGGCAGTTGAGGGACCTAGAGGGGCTTTCAAAGAAGAGTTGGATAAATTCATGGAAGTTCTATGGATGGCTGCTATGTCATGTGGGCTGTGTCGTCTGCCTCCACAGCTCGAGCAACCAATGCTGTCTAATTTCTGGTTGCCTGGAAACCATTAGAGGGAAGAATTTGCTTTTGTGGCTCAGATCTTGCTTTGCGCCACTGAAAGATGCAGGATGCTGAACTAGATGGTGCCAATGGCCTCATCAGCAGGATTCCTCTTATGTTCTGTCCACAGCTTGAGGCAACAATGCTTCTAATTTCTAGTTGCTGGAAACCAAGGGAGGGAAGAATGCTCTTGTGCTCAGATCTTGCTTGGCCGCAGAAAGATCAGGATGCGGTACTAGATGGGCCATTGGCCTCGTTCAGCAGGATTCCTCTTATGTTCTTAATGCAGTCCTAATTATTGTGCCCACTATTGTGGTCTAAATAAGGGATGCGGGTGGCACTGTGAGTAAAAGCCTCAGCGCCTAGGGCTTGCCGATCGAAAGGTCGGCGGTTCGAATCCCCGCGGCGGGGTGCGCTCCCGTTGTTCGGTCCCAGCGCCTGCCA